CCAAAGGTTACAAACTCTTTAGCAGGTGAGTAGCTCTGCCCTCGTTGCAGCTGCAGGTCAAGATATTATATTTCACATCTTCCAGAAAAAAAGGGAGTGACTTTTTGTGCTGGAAAGGTTTCTGAACACGCTGTCCTCTGACAGTGGCAGAAGGTTTCTTCCACACCATAAAAAGCCCCACCGTTAAAAAAAGAACAAGTAAAAACAAATTCCTTCATCACGGTGCCTAACTCAGTGGATTACAAAGAAGCATCAGGATTAACAACGTCACGTCCAGCTGTCAAATGAAGGAGCTACTCTCCCACCAACACCACAGCTCATTGCTTTCATCTGTTCCATGCAGATGTGCTCCTGAACTTCTTAACTAACACTTCTGTATACATTTCAACATACAATACCAGCAGGTAAATCATGGGGAAATGGGAGGGATTTCACTAAGGAAAGCTTAGGGTGAGAAGCTGCAGGTAAGATGCAGTTTTTTTTCATGCATCATATACTACACAGCCAGTTAACTGCTATATTGCTTTCAATTTATACAAAACATCAATTTCTTTCAGCTATTATACAGTTTCCAGAGACAAACACCAAGAGCTGCGTTTCTGTATTTTGCTTTGCCATTCTGGTTTTGGAATGCCTGGAACAGGACAAGCAGTCTCAGGAACAAACTGTTATGTCCCCCAACTCCGTGCACATTGTCCTGCCCTCCTGGACTTCATTCCCACTTGGCTGAGAAACAAGAGAACAAACTACCTTTGTGTCAGGAAGACAGTTCTAAAAAGAAACATGAAAGAACCTTCCGTGCCCTTCAAAAGTTCTTTAGAAACCAGGGATAAAGAAGAACGCAGAACATGGATTTGCAGAGAAAATGCACTTTACTGAGTTGCTAATCGCATCCATTACTCTATAATCAGCTCCTGTTTCTCAGCACCCACTGGCACAGACAGGAGCATGAGGGCCATACAGGTTTCGCCTGCACTGCTGGGAGAGAACATAAAACAGCACCCTGCTGCAGCTGACTCACATCCATGACCCAAGGAACACATCTGCCCTTCCACCTGGACACATGCTGATCCTACCATCAAAAGCAGAGTTGGCCCTGTTGGCCAGGGTGCTCCAACAATGACACTGCAAAGCACTGATCATTTGATACTGAGAGGACAGTCATACCTTGAGCTTTTTACAGCTTCTTAAAATGAGCTTTCTGCAGCTCTACTTGGATTGAAGGTTTAAAAGCCAGGTCCGAACAAGAGCGAGAAAAATAAAACGCTGGGAAAGACCTTCCTGTGAAGGGTATTTACAGGAAAGCTTCTTAATTTTTCTACTTGTTTTCAAGCTGAAAAACCTTCCAATTATCACTGGCCGCTCCACTACGTGCAGTAGCAGACGGGTACCAAACCAGGCCAGGCAGTGTGCAGCTACTCCTCTTTAAAACACAGCACCGTATCATCCTGCTCCGAGCAAGTACAGATAACATGGTGGGAAAAACACTGCTGGTTTCTGGCACCTTGCCTAATGTAAGCATTCCTGCTGCTACCCTCAAAACCAGGGAATTTTTTGCAGTGACAAGTCCTGTACAGAGAGAGAACTAAAAAACCTTCTCTTTGGGTTTTATTGCACTTGTGAAAATTTCACAAGAACCTGATCTTCCAAAATAGAAACTGAATTTTAATTTGCACCCAACTGCAGCGCAGTTGCTTCAGCATTTTCGTTGCTGCGGCCATTGTCTTAGAAAACCAGTAGGAAGACAAATCCAGCAACATGAAAGAATCAATCCCAGAAAGAGAGAGCTGTGCATCTGCAGATGGTGTGGAGAAAGAAGAATCAGCATGATCTTTCTGGAATGTATAAAAGAGATGAGCATCAGTCCTTGGAGTTACTAGCATCACCCTGGGCCCACTGGTGTCCATCATCGTGATGTCTGAATACTTGGGCAGAGGTCAATGATCAAAGCAGGCATGTTCAAGGAGAAAGAGACTGAAAAATGTAGTAAAGTTGCTAGAGTTTGCTGAAGACCAGATTTAAACCTCATTGAACACCTCAGCTTTGCTACAGACAGAAATGCAGGAAGCCAAGATTTCTGTTTGAAAGCTGACACTTCAGACATGCCTGGATCCAAAGGAAACCAACATAAAGTTTAGATTCACCTAAATCATTTAATGATCCACTGCACCTTCTGCAGCAGAACCTTCCTCCTCCTAGTCACAGTGAGCTCAAGATTTGCAGAAGAAGGGAAGAAGGAAGATACAGCTCTCACACAGCTATCAACACAGTCTTCTGTACCCCAGGTTCACTAAGTCACCTGCCTTATCTCAAACACCTAGTCCAAGCTGCCAAGGCTAAGCATGCATCTCTTGAAATACTCTGCTTTTGAATGCTTAACTTGGACTGAATCTCCAGTTGCAGCAATCCAGCTGAACACCTGTAAGAGTTTAGATCTATGCTTATTGCAAGTCAGGAGGAAAAAACAAAAAGGAAATCTTTTGGGTCACTGGACAGAACAGGAATTCAACTTTTCCGGAAAAAAGTCTAAATTACTAAGCTAAGATCTACTTTAAATCAGAAAACACTCTTGAAATTGAAATTCCACACACAGGAGAAAAACACTTAACAACCCAAAGCACCTCGGACACTCCCTGCACTTGGAGCAGACCAACTTATGACAGAGCTTGTCCCAGGGATGGAAGCATCCCCACTGCTCAGCATCTCAGCAAGATAAACGCTTCCAGTGTGCTCAGCCACAGAACCTACAGAACACTAATCTCCAAGGAACTCTAGTTGTTTTTTTCCTGCATTACCTGTCTCCTAAAAGGCATGGGAAAGTCAAGCAAGTTTCCTTGCTCCTCCTCGCTGCAGTGAGGTGAGGCAGCCACGTGCCTCTCCTAACTTTGCTAAGAACTCAAGGGCCGCTAAGATTAGCCCAGAGTTCCTCAAACATGACAACAACGCAGTACAGACAGATGCAACTCCATCTGTCTCACGGCCAACAGCTGCACTTCACTGGGTTGTGCTCCCAGATAAATGTTTTAAAAATCAAGAATTTACAACCACTGCCGGCCCACTCAAAGCTCAAAGCAGAAAAGGGTGCCTGTGTCAGAAGACTTGGAAGAAGGGGCAGGTCAAAGAAAGCTCGCCTGCTGATGCAGAGCTACAAAGACCGTGCAAGCAGATGCCAGCACTCGCTGCTACTTTTAAGGCTGCCTAGGTATCACTTGGTGCTGCTCTTCAGTTAGGCCTGATGCTCCTGCAGGCACATTTCTATGAAGTGGGACAGTTTTGTTAAGTCATTGTAAAGGGATTTTGGACTGGCATGCTAAGATGCTGCAAGACAAGGAGAAGAGCAAGAGAAAACAGAGAAGGATAAAGGAGCCACGCGGTCTCCTCTCCAGTTAATAGCAAGATTTCAGGGCAAGGTGCACAACAACTGCAAATCCCTGCCTGCTTGCTGCACTTCAAAAGTCTCCCTGCAGACCAGGACCACACAGGCTCCAGCTCCAGTGACTTGTGAAAATAAGCTCACCAGGAGAAAGAAAACATACACGTATTAACTACTTACAAAGAGATTTTCAAAGGCTTTTGATACCCAGCTGGTCTTGATTTATATTGACTTCCACAAAATTCTTGTGGACAAATGGTGAGCTCTCTGAAAAATCCCCTCTGTAACTTCCCACTGAGGTATGAAAATAAGTGGTGTAAAAAGGATTGTTAAGGGGAAAGGAAAATTTTAAAAAAAAGAGAGAGAGACAAATTAAAAATGAAAGTTTAAAATAAAATTTGGCTGCAGGCCATAAACTAGGGGGAAACTAACAGTAAAGATAGTTAAATGACTGGAAACAGAACACAACAGGAGCTATTATGAAAAAAAAAGAAAAGCTGATGGCTTTCTAAAAAGGATTTGTATAGATAGCTGAGGAAATAAATTCCGTATGTGACAGAAGTGCAATTGAGAAATTAAATAAATGGAAAATAAGGATGACTAAGTAGTAGTTAACATGCCCTTTCTCAGTTGTATACTATTATCACATCTATTTTTAATGTCTCTTCAGCTGTCTGCAATTGTCATCCTTTTCTCAGAACCTGTTCCAACACTCTTTGATACTGAATTAGCTGTTTTTTTTTTCACTCTCCAATGCTTACAACCACATCTTTTTCTTGCTAAACACTCCCTTTTCCCAACAATGTTATTCCATTGTCTCCTTTTTTCATCTCCCCTTCTATGTTGACTCCCCAGTTTCTGAGCTTTCCAACTACCCTTGTTCATCTTTTTTTCTGGAGCTCTTTTGGCTGAATCCTAGCATGTTTCTTTTCTTCTTTTCTAAAGATACAAGCATGTTTTATATCACATCTGGCCACCGTACACATTGTTACCCCTTCAGAAAGGCATTGAACAGCTACAGCAGTGCTCACGTTGGAAACGGTAAGCTAAACTAAGGAGAAAAAGAAGTCCTTTTTGGCTTTTGCTTTCTGGTTCTTATAAAAGAACCCAAGCATTTAAACTCTCCCCTTTCCTTTTTGTCCTCGGATAACAGCATCTTTCCCCAAGCAGCTGAATATTCAAAGAATAACAGGCATCAGATGATTCTAGAGCAGAAGATATGTCTAAGCAGAAGAGAGAGTGCTAGATTTATTAACACCGAGCAAACACACAAATTCTGATGTGATGTACAAGCTACTGAGTGAACCCAGCTTCCCTTTCTTTTTAAAGAAGTATGAGTATGCCTGCACCTTAACTTCCCCACTACCGCCGCTCTGTATCACCTTGGGGACCCTTATTTTAATTAAACAACCGTTTCCAAACACGTTTCAGACAGTGCAATTCGCTGTCACGCCATGCCTCACGTCACTCAGCTCCATCGTGAGGAAGATCAGACCATTAATTTCTCTCCTTTCTAATTTCTCTGCAATTCTGTTCACAGCCAACAACGAAGTTGAGTCACCAGCTCACAACGCTCTTGGAAACAGCGATAAAATAGCCTCTAAACTGCACCACGGAGCAGGTTTACCTTCAGCTGTGCCTGAGATGCCGTCGGCTTTGAAATTGCTGGTGCTTTTCTTCCTGCGATGCTTCTTTCTGTTGGCATGAGGCGAAGGAGGCGGGTCGAGTTTGGGGCTGGTTGTACTGGATATACTTGGGCTTGAGCACACTGAATCTCCTAACCCGGTATCTGCAGTTTGGGGAAAAAAAAATAAAAAAAAAAAGGGGAAAAATAAAAACACTGCATAATTTAAACTGATGATTAGAATCCAAGATATATGACTAGAATCCAAGATATAACCCTTCAGTGCCTGCTAGCAACTAGCCTCTTGAGTTCATGGAAATACGGGACAGCCACCTAACAGCATCACTTACATTTTCCAAAGGGTGCAAATAAGTGACTGGGATCAAGCTCTGACTCAGGTCCTGCCAAATGGACAGGACTCTCCATCAGCTTTAGAAGCCAGGCCAGCTGGAACCGACCGAAGAGGAAAGGAAATCACTATTATTTCCAATTGCTCACTCTTATAAAATTCTTACTTATCCTCAAATTTATTCATAGGGTGTTTTAATACAGAACAGAGAGACAGCCTAACATCCACTGAATTTTATCTGCCTGTTTAGTTGCTAATACAAGTAGTCCAGCAATCTTCAGCTACCATTTTCACCCAAAGTTGCCAACATGATTTTAGTTCAACATAAACTGATTTTTCTTGCTATGGTTCATGATAAATGCACTTTTTTTTTTCTTTGTCCCAATCCCGAATAACTTCCTACATTTGGAGTGCCTGAAATAGAAGTGAAGCTGTGTCCAGAACATTGGTTAGATACCAACCCAGGGCTGCACTTAAGACGAATTGCTATGTTAAAAAAACATCAAGTCAGAGAGCATCTAAAAAGGAGCTTTTGATTTCTTTTTGAGTAGTACAATTTCTGCACAAATGCCTATTTGACAAAGAAACATTTATTTATTGTTATAAAGTTTACTTACTAATTGCCTGCTAAGCACAGTTGTTCCCCAAGTTAGTGGTGAGGGACCAATTATAGCATTAATTGGCTGCCAGTGGAGACCAAACCAAACTCCAACTGCAACCTTTAAGGATTTTTGTTCTTTTTTTTTCTCTTATGCCCCCTATTTTGAAAACAATGATCAAGCATTAACCCACAAAGGGAACTGTAAGAATGTATTTAGCACACTGTGTAAAGTACAGGAGGTTTCCCTGTATCTGAACAGGAGCTGCTGAAGGCAGTTATCCTGCAAGGGCTTATTGCCTCTCCATGTGCAGAGGAAGGCAAACCCCGACAAGAAGCCAAGCTGATGCTCAGCAGGCACTTGGCAAAGGGGATATTGGTGCCTTTTAAAATCTCTGACACTGGAAGAAAAGAAGATTAAAAAGAGGATGACAGCAGAGGCATGGCCAAGAATGCAAGCCCGTCACTTCCACTCCTGAATACTTTCCTCCAGCTACGGGCTTAGGAAGGTTTCCTACGTTGGGAACATGAAACAACTGGACAGAACAGTGAAATGCAGATCCTTGTACTGGGGCAGGCAGCACTGGACAGATGTCCACCTGCTCTGCAATGGAGCAAGCCACTGAGGCCATGGGGTAAGGACAGCATCTCCTTGCTTTCTGTTTTGCTTTCTGTTTGCTCGCTCACCAGGAAACTGCAATTCATAAATATCACAGAAAGCATGCCAGCAAGAAAGGCTTCCTCACATACAATGCCATTCCTCAAAATGCTTCACTTTTTCCCCTCAGAAAATATGAGGGCTGTAGCACGTGGGCAGGCCTCTAACTCTCAGCTTTCACCCTAAAAAGAATTATTCCATTTTACTCAAGGGGAGGAAAAAAAAAAACAAACCACGCAGAAGCAGCCAGCTTGATCCATGCCCTTCAATAGGCTGCTTGCAAAGAAGTGTGATGCACGCCTGAGTCTGCTGCAACCCACAGGGCTGGAGTGTGAGAGCTGTGCTCATCGCTGCACCACTGCCTGGATGTCAGACACAGTGCCCTGAGCAAAGAAAGGTCCCTTCCAACCCCAGCCATTCTACGATTCTATGAAAAACTGCAAATTCTTAACAGCTGCAAGCCATTTGGCAAGTGAAAGGGGAATTCTCCAAAACCTTCCCTTGTCAAAAAAAATAAATAAATACAAATGCAAAGCTACACGCTTGCTGCAGGTCAGTCCCATTTCTAGGCTGTAAATTACACAAACAAAACCTGTTTGTGAATTCTGAAAAATGATGAGACTTACAAACACACTGCACCACCGCTCGCCCCAAAGAATGAACCTGCTGCGGTAAATCCTGCTGAGCCACGGCCCCTGTGGGCAATGAGGAGCTGCCCTGGGGTCACACTGCTCCCAGGGGGAGAGCCTGAGGGATTCCCTCCCCCTGCAGCAGCAAAGAACTACAAGGCTCCTGGAAAAGGATGCTGATGTCGTAGGGCGTGTTGTTATTTCTACAGGGCACGTCGTCGTCGCTATCGCAGGGCACAGTTATGGTTATGACAGAGCACCTGACTATTGCGATAGGGCACGCTCTGGTTTTTGAGAGCACCCCTTGAAGATGGAAGTTGTAAACCATTGCTCTGCTTTAAAATATGAGCGATGGAAGGGCGCCAGGCTCACGCGCCGTGCTTTCCCATTTCCAGCTACTCCTCGTGCCTGACAAGGTATTCTTCAAATTGAAAAGAGGGCTCCTGAAAGCCCTGCTTCAGAAAACTGTAAATGAGTTCAGGCTTCAGCCCGCTGAATGCAATTTCATACTCCTGACTGAATACAAATAATGCATTTTATTTTGTATCAATTACCACGCGTGAGAACAGACGACCACTGCCGGCGCTATTAGATAGTTATAAAAAAAAAAGAAAAAAAAAAAGAGGCAAAGAAAAAGGCATGCCAAATTAAAAAAGCCAGCGCCTCATTACTCCACATCTAAAGCAGCTCTGACGGAGGCACTGGAACTCATAAGACGCGTCTCGCTGGGCTGGGATGGGCTGTTTTGCAGCCATCCCGCAAGTTCAATGTTAGCCATTAGTTCTTCCCAATCGGGCATCAACGTTCAACGCACACCCAAAAAAATATATAATACTAGCAATAATAATAACAATCTGCAGCCTCTCCGAGCTTCAATACTTGAAGTATGAGTCAAAGAAGCAGTTTCACTTTTCACTCGGGAAGCTGACAAGCATGACTAGAGGGGGAATAAAATAACATTCAGTTCGCATAAATATCAAGCAGGCTGCTTGAGACTGATGGGCCAGGAATGTATTCTTAGCCATCATTCTGGCAGACAGGCCCAAGGACACTCATAACTTATTTTACAATCATTTAGTTTCAGCTCAAGTGGAAAACGTGACAACTTATCTCTGCTGACAAGATGGCATATCGAACCTTACAATTAACTCTCCCGCGATTATCTGCCCAGCCCATCATTAGCTTTGCAGTTTTTGATGGACTGTACGGGCAAGCTCTACTTGATGACGGTCATCATTTGCAGGGTGTATATCTGTATTAAGGACGCCATTCTCTCCTTGCCACGGAGTTATCCTGCCCAGCACATGCTCTGCTCTGGAACTGCAGAGCCAGGTTTGTCAATGACGTGCAGCAGCACCGCAGCAAAATGCCTTCTCCTCCCAGGAGAGCACTGCTGGCTGCAGCCTGTGCTGCTGACGGCAGGGGATGGAAGTTCCTTGCGAATGCAGGCGCCTCCTCGTAGCACACAGCTGTCCCTTCTCCTCTCTGCCTCTCCCTGTGCATTAGGCAGAAATCACAGAACCTAAAAAAGCCAATGCAGCTGTTGTTATGCAAGCCAACTTCCAAGGCTGCCCCTTCTCCTAGATGCATTTCATAATTACAGTCATAGAAGAAACTCCTTTCAATTATGATGCATATTAATAGGAGAAACGAGAGGCAGAAGGGGAAAAACAGATTGTCTAAAGCAACACCCAGAATTGAGATGGAACATTAAATGAAGAAAGAAATCAACCAATCCTCTGAAGAGTCTCAAGGGCTGTGCTGTTGCACTGCACCGTATTTGCCGCTTGAAACACATCTGATATCCTCTCTCAGAATTACACGTTCATAAAGCTTAATATTCAACCTCATAGTTTTATCTTTTGGAACACATCCCACAAACAATGTTGCAGAAGCACTAGAGGTTTTGAAAAGGGTAAAAACTGCCATCCCAACCCTCAGCGCTCCTGCATCTGCTCAAAGCAAGCTGGGTGGAAGCATTTGAGACATCTTCCCTTCTCTGCTCGCCACGCACGCCTTGTGGAGTAGCTGCAAATACCAACATAGGAATCAAGGGGGGGGGGGGGGGGGAAGAAAAGTAGGGCCCAGAAGCAGGAGGGAGTGCCCCATGCCAAGACACCCAGATGGGGGATGAAGTAGGAGGAGACAGCAGCACGTGATGCACAGGAATAGCACAGCACAAAGGCTGAGCTGAAATGCACAAACCCGAGAACGTGCCCCGTTCTTTGGCCCACAGCTCCTGTTCTCTGTCACGCACACAACCCTTTCTCTCCTGTGTAACGACTTGAAGCGGAAACAAGGCCGTTCTGACCTCCTCTACCTTTGTGCCTTTTGATTTATTTTATATTTTTGTCAAATCACCTATTTACAAAAACTTGAAACAAACTCAACAGGTGACGCTATTCTCTGCAGACCAAAGTCGGGCTTGATCTGGTTTACATTTCTCTTGCATCTTCTCGTTAAAATTTTCCAACTGGCTTTCAAAGTGAAATTAGACTTTTTGTGGAGCCCAGCTCCCTGACGCAGCCTTCCTCCCAAGAGCCCAGGGATTGATTAATTTGGGTGTTTGATTTTCTGAAGTGACACGAAGTCAGACTCTGCACAAAAGCAGGAGTGGCGCACGGGATCGATTAAAGAGCAGAAGCGGCAACACAATTAATACCTCCAGGTTCAATGGGAAGAGAAAGAGCCGATGACGAAAACAACAGCAACAGCTCCAACTGCAGCAGGAATCTTTGCCACGGCCCGAGGAAGGCTGAACCCAACGGGTGTTTCAGAACTTTCACTGTGCCATTAGCGTAGAAATGAAATAAGCCAAAGATGTCGGTAGCCGGTGGACTGGATAATAAAAAAAATAGCTGGACACTTTCATCTTCTACACATGTGTTTTAAATAGAGGCGAGAAAAGCAATCCTTTTATTTAAGCAGGGG